TTTTTTTACAGGTCTATGTCTTGCCTTCCATTGGTGTAGGTTTTCTTACCATTTTTTTACAGGTCTATTTACTATTTTATTAGTATAGGTTACTCGAGTTTATTCCAGGGGAGGGTTAGGACCAGAAAAGAGTAAAAAGTTATGCACGTTTTTCCTAATATCTTTCTTTTAAATTAACTCATCTCTTATTGCCTTTTTTTTTTTTTTTTTTTTTTTAAGATTTTATTGAGAGAAAGAGGAGAGAAGCAGGCTTCCCACAGAGCAGGGAGTCCAATATGGGGACGGTGAGATCGGACCCCAGCCAAAGACAGATGCTTAACAACTGAGCCACCCAGGCGCCCCTCCTCCCAATATTTTTGCCTTGAGATACAACAGCAAGGGGGAAGCACAGTCCTGTCTCCTATCAGACTCTATAGTTGTTTCCACGGCAGTCTGGTATGACTTTTTTCATGCTGAACTTTCACATCCAACTCTCACTCTAGGACGGTTTTTCATGCTGAAGATAGCAGATTCCTTACTATAAGGAAAGGGCTTAATTTACTTAATTTTTCCAGTGCACCAAGCACTGGGGGAAAAAAAATGGGTAAGTAATATAATTGGGATAAGTAACTTACAATCTTAGCGATTAAGTGCCATACAGAAGCATTATGAGAGGATGGATAGGGCTCGGCACCAAATGTGTCCTCACATTTTAGACCCAGCTCCGCCCACCTATCTGCATCTTCTTGCCCAAGCTCATTTGATTTTCTGGCTTTAAGTGGACACCATCTCATAGCTGGTGACGGTCCACAAATTTACAGCCATCAGTAGGTCCCATTGATGACTACATTCAAATGCTTCATGCAGCTACATTTTACCTACTTCACCCTGATCCTGGAAGAGATCTTGAGGGATTCATACAAAAACCCCTCCTCAGCTGTCCTCCTTGGACTACACCCCGCCCCTCCTATCTCTTTGTCCCAAACTTCCACACAACAACACTCAGAGAAACTGGGGGGTTTTTTAATGTTACTTTTTTTTTTTAAGATTTTATTTATTTATTTGACAGACAGAGATCACAAGCAGGCAGAGGCAGGCAGAGAGAGAGGAAGGGAAGCAGGCTCTCTCTGCCGAGCAGAGAGCCCGATGTGGGACTCGATCCCAGGACTCTGGGATCATGACCTGAACCGAAGGCGGAGGCTTAACCCACTGAGCCACCTAGGCGCCCCTCATATTGGATATTTTAAGCAATTTGAGAAACCTCGAAAGTCACTCTCACCTCCCCATCCTACCCTACCCACACCCTCCCTTCTCCCTAGAAATGGGTCATTAAACCCTCACGTGAGCCCTACCTTCCTATACTGGAGGCAAGGAATCATCCTTATCTCCAAAGTCAAAGGGGCTCCAAAAAGAATCCAAACAAACAGGCCTTGTTAAGTTTCCCCCAGTTTACTACACTGGCCTTATACTCTTTTTTATTTATTTATTTATTTTTTAAAGATTTTATTTGAGAGAGAGAGCCCCATGCACATGCAACCTGGGGCGGGGCAGAGGGAGAGGCAGAAGCACGCTTCCCCCTAAACAACGAGCCCAAGGGAGGGCTCCATCCCAGGATCATGACCTGAGCCCGAGGCAGATGCTTAACCCACTGAGCCACTCAGGCGCCCCACCGCGTACTCTTTAAACCATCATATTCCTGGGGCACCTGGGTGGCTCAGTGGGTTAAAGCCTCTGCCTTCGGCTCAAGTCATGATCTCAGGGTCCTGGAATCGAGACCCGCCTCTGGCTCTCTGCTCAGCAGGGAGCCTGCTTCCTCCTCTCTCTCTGCCTGCCTCTCTGCCTGCTTGTGATCTGTCAAAACAAAACAAAACAAAACAAAACAACTTTAAACCATCATATTCCTTCATGACTATCCACTCTTCATCAAACCTAGCATAAAAATACTGAGGTTTAACCATTTCTTCTGGCCTTCATTTCCTTTTTTTTTTTTTTTTTTTAAGATTTTATTTACTTATTTGTCAGAGAGAGAGCGCAAGCACAAGCCGAGGGGAGCCTGAGGTGAGGCTGGATCCCAGGACCCCGGGATCCTGACCTGAGCCACTTAACCTAACAGACTGAGCTACCCAGGAGCCGCTGGTCTTCATTTCCTTATGAAGACTCCCATATTACTAAAATTTATATTGGGGTGCCCAGCTAGCTCAGTCGCAGAGGAGTATGCGACTCTCTTTTTTTTTTTTTTTTAAGATTTTATTTATTTATTTGACAGAGATGGGGAGAGGGAACACAAACAGGGGAGTGGGAGAGGGAGAAGCAGGCCTCCCACCTAGCAGGGAGCCCCATGTGGCAGGGAGCCCGATGCGGGGCTTGATCCCAGGACCCTGGGATCATGACCTGAGCCGAAGGCAGACTGAGCCACCCAGGCGCCCCAGTATGTGACTCTTTTTTTTTTTTTTAAGATTTTATTTATTTATTTGACAGAGAGCACAAGTAGGCAGAGAGGCAGGCAGAGAGAGGAGGAAGCAGGCTTCCCGCTGAGCAGAGACCCCGACGTGGGGCTCGATCCCAGGACCCCAGGATCATGCCCCGAGTCGAAGGCAGAGGCTTTAACCCACTGAGCCACCCAGGTGCCCCCAGTATGTGACTCTTAGTTGATCTTGGAGTTGTATAAGTCCCACGTTGGGTGTAGAGATTATGTAAATAAATAAATAATTAATTTTAAAAAGGAAACATCTTAAATAAATTTGTATGCTTTTCTCCTGTTAATCTATATTTGTCAAGTTGATTTCCAGACCCAACCAGGGACCCTAAGAGGGGCAAGGAAAACTTCTTCCTCCCCTGCACTACTTTTTTTTTGGCAAAAGGAATCCTGCTCTACCTGGTAAGCACTGAGCTTTTTTTCAAAGATCACAGATACCTTTCTACATCACAGTAAGAATATACCATAGTTAATCAGTGTTCTAGGTTAAACCAAGACATCTAGTTTGTTTTCAATTCTCATTACCCAAACAATGCTGTCGTGAAGTAGTACTATGAGTAACCACATTTTCAGTCTTGAGAGAGAATGCCAAATAACTATCTTTAATTCATGTGCAACGTATTTTTGTATAAAATCCTGGAGACAGAAGTTTAACCATATTTTCTTCTAATTAACTGTCCCTCATTTTAGATTGATAGTGTCTTTTTTTTTTAAAGATTTTATTTATTATTTGACAGACAGCCATCGCAAGTAGGCTAAGAGGCAGGCAGAGAGAGAGAGAGGAGGAAGCAGGCTCCCTGCTGAGCAAAGAGCCCGCTGAGCCATCCCAGGACCTGAGCCAAAGGCAGAGGCTTTAACCCACTGAGCCACCCAGGCGCCCCAGATTGATAGCGTCTTGTTTTACAGCTCTTTTAAACTCTTCATGGACTAAAATAGCATCTAAATAAGGAAATAAAGTCATCACTGAGCATTTACAGAGCATTGATTACGTGACTGTGACAGGGACTGTGGAACAAGAAATGAATAAGGCACCACTCCAGGCCAGGGGATCTTTCTTCAGAAAGATTCAGATCTTCAGGAAGACAAAATGTGTAATGAATGAGAGGAATCATGGGCGTCTTCAGTAACTAAGAGAGTGAGTGCACAGCCAGAGGACTACGGCCTTCAGAACCAGTGATTTAATGCAAAGATGGTAGTTGAGAGAAGAGTTACCACTAGTAATTCTGAGTGTCCCGAGAGTGAAATAGAGTGTATTTTGTCCTCAGAGCAATGGGGATGTTGAGTGGCTTAAAAAGGGAGGTAGGGCTGATAATCTTAAGTAAGTCTGGCTGCAGTGTGGGAAATGGTTGGTGGGGAAAGGAGCCTGGCGGGCACAGAGGCAGTGGAGCTGGAGTGAGGCAGGAAGACTTTCAGAGCTTGTTGGATTCATTCTGACATAGATAGGATGGGGTGAACTAAAGCAAGAGAACTGAACCAACTGAAAAGATCTCCTAGCAGAGGAAAAACAACTTTCCTTTTACTCTCTGAGCTCTTGGCTGAGACCCTTGTAATAAGAGACAGATTAACAAGAGAAAAATATGTTTATTAACATGTATACCTCATGTGTACATGGAAGATACCCAGGGAAAAATGAGTTACTCTCTGAGGCGGCCTAAAAATCTGCTGAAAAACCATCTTAAGCTAAGGAGGAAAGAAAAGTGTGTAGGGAGGACAGTTCTGGGGAAGCCACCTGGAAAAGCACAGTAAACAAGATAAGGTTTGTTGGGGCGTCTCGGTGGCTCAGTGGGTTAAGCCCCTGCCTTTGGCTCAGGTCATGATCTCAGGGTCCTCAGCGGGGAGCCTGCTTCCCCCCATCTCTCTGCCTGCCTCTCTGCCTACTTGTGATCTCTGTCTGTCACATAAATAAATAAAAACTTAAAAAAAAAAAAAAAAAAGATTTGTTCAGCTGATTCCAGTGGGTGCCTTCTCTACCAAAATCCTTCTGTGAGTTCACCATCCTTCTTTTTCTGGTACAGAGAATGAGACACCCTTACAAATGGAGATTTCCTTTTTAAATATAAATTTCCCTAACAAAAGGGCAATTTGTACTGTTTCCAGAGCTTCAGCTGTTTCTCAAAATAGTTTAAAATAATCCTTACACCAAAGAGGCATATTTTGGATTGGCACATTCTGCTACCCTTTCAGTCTCTGAGAAGGTGGAAGCCACGGGAGGCAGATGTGAGGAGGAATAAGGCAAGGCAGGTTTCTGGCTTAGACACTGAGGTAGATGAGAAACACGACGGGGGCAGAACTTGGGAAAGATGAGAAGACAGCTCAGTTTCAAACTGTCTGAAGTGTCTGTCCGGCGTTTGGGGAGAGATCGCCAAGAGCTAGGTCTGGAATAAAGAGGGAGCTGAGCTGAAAACATGTGGGGGTTATAAAAGTAAAGGCGCCAAGCCCACGTGGTCAGAGGCGCTGAAGAGAACAGGGTTAAGAGCTCAAAGGAAATCGCTTAGGGGCCCGGCCCCGCCACGCCCCCCGCCACGCCCCTCCCCTCCTTTCCCGCCCCCTTAATCCCACCCACAGGGCGCGGCGCGGGATGGATCGCGGTTCCTCCAGCTCCGGGCTCGCAGAGCATGCTGGGGGCGGAAGCCCCTCTGAGAGCCAGGCATATCGGGAGCTGTAGTTTGGGACAGGCCCAGAAGTCCTCGCAAATCGCAGCCTTGGTCACTTAAAGGGCAGATCCAGAAAGCAATGATGCTCCCGTGGCAGGGTTCCCCTCCGGCGGCGGCACGGGGCGCCCCGGGCCGCATCCCCTCTTCTCAGAGCGTGGCACTTCCAGGCCTCCACGATCTGCTCCACCTGCAGGGAAGGCCGGTCACTGCGGAGTTCGGCAGTACCCTTTCGCCCCGCAGACCCTGGGCTGCTGCAACGCCCCCAACCCCCGCCCTTCTCTTCCCACTCCCCCCCACCTCCCCGGCTGCTGAGTGGATCTGCGTTTGGTTCCCAGCGTCCGCACCGGGATGAGCGGCTCCCGCTGGTTCTGCTCTTCCAGGGCGCTCAGCTCCGCCGGGGCCAATAAGGCCAGTCTCAGCTCCCGCACCACCGGGGCCGCCACCTCGGCCACAGGCCGCTCCAGGACGGCCTGCGAACGCCAGCTCTAAGCCCGGACAGGCGGGGGCCCCGCGCCGCCACCCGCCTGCCAGGTTCCTGCGCCCCGAGCCTCCTTCCTCATCCCCACCGCGGGGTCCCGGTAGGCCCGGCTCACCGCGCCCACGCGCGCCCAGCTCCGGGCAGCCAGGACGAGCTCAGCTTCGTCTACACAGAGCTTGTCGCTGCGCAGCAGGGGCAGCAACGCGGGCGCCGACAGCTCCAAGAAGCCGCGGGTCCGGAGCGCCTCCTGTGGGTCCACGAATGGGTCAGGGAGGAGCAGAATGACGTGTGAGGGTTTGGGAGTATGCAGATGGGGAGAGGTACCTGGGTGTGGGTCTCTATGAAGGCTATGCAGCGCTCCTGCAGCGGTCCCAGGCCAAAGGTTACGGCAACCTGGGAACAGAATGAAGGGTGCTGGGTTAGTAGTGCAGCCCTCCACGCTGACGCCCACCTACACGCCGGTCCAGCAACACCCACCTGCAAGGCCTCACAAACCAGCTCCACATCCAGCACCTTCACCACAAACTCCAGGCACAGCTGGGAATAGAAATGAAGGTGGGTTGTGCTAAGGTGTCTGCTCCAAGACTGGAGCCCCACCCCAGAAGCAGTGAGCCACCTAGACAACTAAGCAGCCTCAAACCCATCCTGACCTCCCAGACTAGGGGAGGCAAGGAATCACCAGGGGCTGAGACTTGGCAAGCCTGAAGGGACTGGAGACTAGTTGTCTACCTTGTGTCCTGCAGTCTACCTTCTAGCACATTCCACAATAATCGGACTAGATGAAAGCCATGTGAAAATCCACTCTCCTTTTCTCTGAGGACACTTATTGTCTTCCACTTGTACCCCTCCTGACTCAAAGACTCTTTTGTTTTAACTAGAAATTTGAATTTTGTCCATGACCTGTCCCTTTCACCCTTGCATCCAGAAAAGTGCTGGGTCATGCCAGTTCCACTTCTCTCAAAGTCATGAATCTCTCTCCTGGGCTTCCACAGCTACTTATCCCTGCTGGACTGGGGAGCCCTTCCCATCTCTCCCAATCACTTCTCCCCTTAGCTCCAAATCTTCACTCCCTTACCCAAAACCTCCAATGAATCTCCATTCCCTCTGGGTAAAAAAAAAAAAGTCCAAATTCTTGAAGGTCCTGCAGTGATCTAGCTCATGGTACCCTTTCCAATCTCATCTGTCTCTCTCCTCCTCTCCCACTCTTGGTCCAGCCACACTAAATGGCTCACTAGCTCCGTTTGTGCCTTGGTGACAAGAATGCCACCTTTCCACTTCCCCTCTGAGCAAACTCTATCTGTTCTACCTGATCTAACACAAATGTTTCATCCCCCGAGAAGTCTTCCCTTCTTTTCTCCCTGATGGCAAGACCAGAGATACCCTCTGTAGAGTCTCGACACCATATACCCTCATCTATCACCCTTCTTATACTCCTGGATTAAGGGTTTTCATGTGTCTATCTTTCTCTGAAAAACAAGGATCAAGGCTGAGTTATCCTGGCATCTACGGCATCAGCCATAAACACCCCATAAGTCCCCACAGCACACACACAACACACACGTATCCTTTTGCACACAGGCACACATAAATGCCTGTTTACACAGAGAGCCGTCCATACTCTGTGTCAGTAAACATGCCTCTCCAGGCCAGAGTGTGCGTGAGGCATGGTGTGAACGGAGCCCATAAAAGGAAAGAGAAATGAGACAGGGGCCCGTCATATAAACCCACCTCTCGTAGTTCCTCCAGCCCATATTCCACAGCCGCTGTCAGCACCTCCAGCACCTGCAGAGTGGGTGGTTGGAGGAGTGGAAGAGAGTTTCTCCTGTCCCTCCCCCCACAGCACCCCCCTCCCTCTCTCACCCAGACCTCCGCCCAGTGGGCTCACAGAGTGGCGGTGCAGCCTGACACTGTTGGCATACAGGAACTCCAGCACTGCCAGGAAGGCATCTGCCGGCACGGAGCTTAGTACCACGGGGCTGGGCATCCCAGGGCCCAGCTTTGGGCCCAGAAGTCGTTGGAAGAAGTTGCATCTACAGGCCAGCAAGCACCGGTGGGCGAACACCTCCTGCCGCTCTTGACCGACCACAAAGCACACATCACTGTGGGAAAGGGGAGGAGAGAACCGGGGAATAAGAGGCCGGAGTCTTGGGTGCAACTCTTGGGCTCTGCCTTTGCCCACTCTGGGCCTTCATTTCCTTTTCTGTCCTATAAGGGACAGGTCTTAGTCCTTCCAGCCAAAGGTCTGGGATACATATTCCTGGATTCTAGTCCCAGCTCCACCCTCTGGTGCCTCAGGCCAGTGACTTTATACCTCGGAATCTCAGGTTTCTCATCCGTGAAATGGGACAGTAATCTTAGACCCTCAGGTCTTGGAGGAGGTGGCGATGCCTGATCACTGAGGAGGCACCAAGGCTGATGCAAGATTGATCCTACCTGCCCCTCTCCTCCCCAGCCTGAGTCTTGAGGTAAAGGAAACTCTTCTTGGCTCCTCCTCCACAGACTGCAAACTCAGCTTTTTTCAACCTCCTCTAGGCAGGAGGGGGTTGGGAACCAGGCCGCAGAGCGCACTGGCTGCCAACAGATATGGCAGCGAGACACCATCATGAGACCAGACCACATTTTCCATCTTCACAATCACTTCCGGCCCCAGCCTCTGGGCCTCCCAACAGCATGGGGGTAGGAGGCAGGAAATGAAGCTTGAGCTTCTGGAGCCTCCTAGTCCCAGGTCCAAGGCCAGGGGTTCCCACTACTCAGATCAGACCGCAATCCCCAAAGTAGTGGGGTTATGGGAGTCACCAACCCTTAAGGAGGAGCCCAGCTCTCAGGCAGTGGGGACAGAAAGCTACATTCTAGCCCTGCCCCCATATTTTATCCCTGGTTTCAGACACCACAAGCATCCTGGGCAGTGAGCCCCAGGCAGCACCCTTGAACTACTTCCTGTCTGAGACTCTGGCTCACTCAGTCCCTTGAGTTTTGTTCCTCTTATGAATCCCCAGTTCCCAGAAGGGTCATCTGCTCCTCTGCCTCCCAGGGAGGAACTCAAGTTACATCCCATCTCTCAGGATCCAGGGGGCAAAGGGCTCTTCTCTGCCAGGAGCTCAAGAGCCAAAAAAGGAAGGTCTTTGCCTGAAGTCACACAGCTGCTCTGGGCTCCAGCTCCCACTGCCCGCCCCCCACCCCCACCTCTGGCTCTCAGGACATCATGGACTCTGAGTGACCTGTAGTCGTTCTCCACAGTTGACTTCCCCAGACAGAGTTCACCAGGGAGGAGGGTCGTCTTCCCCACCTCTTTATACCCAAGGCTTCCTCGGTGTCATGGGGCCCAGCAAAGCCAGTTAGGGAAAACCCACAGACAGGGCCCACCCCCTCACCTGTATTGGGGATTGTTGAGAAGGCTTCGGAGTGCTGTGGAGAAGGGTGCAGCCTCCCCGTGCACAACCAGTCCTGGGGTCTCCATGAGGGTGGGGGGCAGGGGGGGTAAGCGGATAGAATAGGAGGCCTGTTGTTTCTTGGTCTGTGGGAGGTGGTAGGTGGGAAGGAGCAGGAGGCCTGGCCAGGCCTGGCAGCTGGTGTGGAGACTAGAAAGGCCTGAGAGGGAGGGGCAGGAGCTTGGGAAGCCTGTTTGCTGAGAAGCTAAAGTTTAGGGATGGGGCAGGAGAGGCCCAGGTTCCTTAAGAAGGCATCAGAGGCCAGTGGAAGAGGCCGGAGGCTGGGCTAGGGGATGGGGACTCAGAGAGGAGAACAAGAGAGGCTGAGGTGGAGCAGACTGGACTGGGGAGAGGCTGGCAGCGGATGAGGCCCCAGCTGGGAGCCTGCCCAGGCAGCAGTGGGTGGGAAGCCTGTGGGTTTCCACGGAAACTGGAGCCTGGCTTGAGAGGCCCCGCCCATCTCCCACAGGGCCAGGGAAAAACTTTAGCCCTCAGAAGGGGGCCAGAAGCTGAGTGGAGGGTCTCAGCACCCAGGCCCCCAGCCTGTCTTGGGTTCAGAGTTCAAACTCCCTGTCCCTCCTACCCCTGCCCCCCACAGGCACACAGGGTCAGTATTTGGTTAGTCAGGCCTGGGGAACCCCCCTGAACAGGGAAATTCCTTACCCCCATGGAGTTTTTAGGGCCCAGACTGGCTTGTCTGAGAGGAGACAGTCCTGTCCCTTCCAGAGGGAGGTCAGGTGAGGTGGTGTCAGCTCTGACAGAGGCGTCATGGCCTCTGGCATCCCTAAAATGCAACCCCAGTGAGGGGGGTGGCTCTCTGGGCACCCAAGAGGTGTGGCCAGCCAGGGACAAGCCCCAGGGCACTTGGGTCAGCAGGGGTCAGGAGGCTGGGCGCTGGTTCCTAGCCAAGTCCAGTCACCACGGTTGCACCACTGTTGCGTCAGGTCGGCTCCCACCAGCGGGGCTGATGGCCTCCCCTCCCCCTGCACACAGCCCCGAGCTGAGGAAGTCATCCAAGCCCCACCCCAGCTCTGCACAGGGAGCGGAAATATTTGTCCTTGTTGAGGCTGATGGGGAGACGAAAGAGCCATGACGTTCTCCTTCCTGTGGGCCCAGATCCTGATTCCTCAGCAGCCACCCGTGCAGGCTCAAGGTCTCCCCACATCCCAGGCTTCTGCAACTTGCTCACAACTGAAGAGCCAGCCTTCACGAGGGGAGAACTGGACAGCGGCTCAAGAGCCCTGGAGCCCGTCTCTACATCTGTCCCCTCTGTTGTCCTTGTGGTAGTCGTATGCCCTGGGGTCTAGACCCCCATTATCCCCTCTCCCCTGATGACTCAGGGACCCCACACTCAGCACCTGCTCACAGTAGTAACACTTCCAGGTTAAGCCAGAGCCAGGACTGGTAGGTGGAAACCAGACAGGAGTGCCTGTAACCCAGGGCAACTCCACAACACAAGGGGCCATTACCTTCCTGCGTGCCAGTCAGGCCAGCGGGGAGGGCAAGCCTGTGGAGCTGGGAGAGAGTTTGGAAGCCAAAAGCTGCAGGTGACTCAGGTGCCTGCGGGAGTTTCGGGAGAAGGCGGCATTCATCCCAGAACTGATTCTAGAGGTAGGACCAGAGGCCAAATTCAGAGGGTGGAAGGAGCTTCCTGAGTCACCTGCCTCCAGTCTCAGCCAATTATAGGGGCGATCTTTGTGTCAGGCACCCTAGAAGCAGGTAGGGGTGGAAGGTGTCTGGATTCAGTACCCACAGGGCTGGAATGATCTGTGGAGCTGAAGGAGTTGGGTCTGTGTCTCCTTCTGGTCGGGGGTGTTGAAGCACCACAGACTAGGCCAAGGCAAACCAAGGGCAGACTTATCTCCCCCTTCTGCTGGCAAAGTCAGGTGGGAGAATAGTCAGGCGGAAGGGAGACTAGGAGGTGCTCACTTAGCTAACCTCCACAGCGCCCAGGGGGAAGTGAAGCTTGGGGGCAGGGGCCATCATCCTAAGGTGATAGTCTGAGCAGCACCACTTATGTCCCTAACAGCCCTTAACCCTCTAAGAACCTAGGAATCCACGCAGCCCGGACTATTTCATTCACCTGTCCCCGGAACACAGGTAAGAAGGGGTTAGGGAGTAAAAACCCTTATCACAGAGTGAAAGACTGGAATGGATACAAAGATGGCCAGTTTCTGGCATCCTATCCCAGTGCGGGTCTTCCAGTCGGCAGGTCCATGGCTGGCAGGCCTGTGCCCCCCGGACGCCAGGAGGAGGAAACTACCAAAGACCCTGGGCTGAAACTATCACCGGTGAGGCCTCCAGGCCACCTGCCCAGTATTGATGAGGCCCGACTAGCAGGTCTGGGCCCGTCCTCCCGCCGTGGCTCTGTACTGGGCCCAGCCTCCTCCTTCTCACGTCGCAACTCGCTGGCAGGACCCGCCGCAGGTCCTAGGGGTCGGCGACCATCTCTGGGCCCAGTGCCTCCTCTGGGCTCAAGGGTTAGCTTCTCGGGGTTGCCCCTGGCCCCCCTCCATCGGCTGGCGCCCTCCTACCGCATGGAGCCCGCGCCTGGGGAGCGCTGGGAGGCCAGCCGCATGCAGCACTCGATGGAAGCGACGCTGGCCGCCCGGCTGGGCAACGCGCACTACGCGGGTGCAGAGGCCGGGCCTCTGGCTCGCGAGCTGTGCGAGCTGGTGCGTGTGCGCCTGCGCGAACTCTGTCCCCCGCGCTACAAGCTCGTGTGCAATGTGGTGCTAGGGCCGCGCGCCGGCCAAGGCGTGTACGTCGTTAGCCGTGCGCTCTGGGACACCGAGCATGACGGGCTGGCCTCCGCGACCTTCACCAATGCCTCCCTCTTCGCCGTGGCTGTAGTGCACGGGCTCTACTGTGAGTGAGGAGGCCTCCAAGTTCTGCAAAAACGATTTATTCTCCCAGGAGGAGGCCCTCCCTGGGGCTCGATCCCAATAAATAAATGTCTGTTAATAAATAAAAGTGGTCCATAAATAACGCCCCCAAGCTGGGGACTAAGGCTCAGGCTTTTCTTGGAGAAGGGGTAGGAGGCTGCTGGGACAGGCAGACTCCAACCCCAGTAAAGCTGGTCCCTGATTCCCTGGGGGATTCGGCCCAGAGTCCCCAGTGAGGCACCAAAGGGACAGGGAGGCCCGCAAAGGCAAGGGCCAGAGCCTTACAGGCACAGGCCTCAGACCTGACACTTTGGGTCATGGCCAGCCCTGAGGGTTAGGGCCTAGGTTGGGCAGCGGTCCCGGAGCAGCTGCAGAGCATAGCGGAGCCGCTGCCGCAGGTCTGGGGAGCAGCCCAGCTGCCGGAGGTGGGAAGCGAGGTAAGTACAAGCACTGCGATTGCGCGCCACAAAAGTCACAAGCAGGGGCTCCCAGCCACTGAGGATCAGCTTGGTGTGGTCTCCATAGAAGTTCACCTGTGCGCAGAAGGGTCACCCTGATCAGAGCCTAGGCCCCAGGTCCAGTTTCCTCCCCACTGCACCAGGGGCCTCCCTGACCTTCCCCCCAGCTCCAGGAGGGGTTCTCACCTGGACAGTGCCGTCACTGAACAGCATGAGGAGGGCCTGATCCGTCTTGACCCACTGCAGTAGGAGTGGGGGCACCGGCACCTCCAGCTCTTCCACACTGGGCAGATCTCCACCCTGGGAGCGGGAGCAGGTCACTTGCCTGACAGGAGTCATGCCCCGCCCCCTTGATGTCTCCCACAGAGGTTCAGCCTCCAGCTCTGAGCCCTCCACCCCTCCTGCCGAGGGGACCAGGAAGAGGTTAGGATGCGTTACTCATCAATGTGCCCCACTCCAATCACACACCTTCATGAGACGCTGCTCCATGTAGGAGGCAAAATACCGGAGGACACCCAGCTGAGGCTGCAGGGCCCGAGGCACAGCACCCACAGAGAAGGAGAAGTGCTTTGTGCTTGTGGGGTTGTAGTGCACGGTCCTGGAGGAGAGGAGACACGAGGTCAGAGGGAGCCCGTCGCCGATGCCCGTCCCCTGGAGACCCCAGGACACCCCAGTGCAGGAGCACACACCTGCTGGGCACAGTGGCCCAGATACCAGGCAAACCAGAAGAGCACTTACTTTTTGTTGGCTGAAAGGGCCATGTGTGTGCCATTGTTGAAAAGCACAGCCACACGGCGGCTGGACAGCTGATACCCAAAGCCAAATTTATTGGAGTAGTCCACCCACTTGCTGACCCATACCAGAGGCTCTGGCTGTGCAAGCGGAGCTGGGTTCTGTTCCGCTGTCATGGAAGAAGAAGGAGTGAGGACCTGTTTCCCACCTTTCCGCCAAAGAACTCCTGACACCATTCACCCCTACCGGACCCCACCCTTACCCGGCGGCATGAAGGCCAGGCAGTTTCTCAGAGCACAGAGGGCTGACTCCACGACTGTGGCCACAGTCAGACCTTCTTCAAACCCTGCAGGGAACAGGGAACCTGGAATTAGGCATCAGTTCGCCAGGACACAGGCCATGTTTCTCTGACACTGGCACTCCTTCCCTGGGTTTAGCCCCACCAACCTCTATAGCCCCTCTCTTCTTCCCAGCTGCTCACCATCTCCACTGCTCGCCAGGGTCCCACGGGGTGAGCTGTCTTCAGGCGCTGTCTCTACCAAGCTGAGGGGGGCAGGGCCAGAAGCTGCTGGAGCCTGGAGAGTTGGAGAGGGGAAAGGAATGAGATAGGTCTCAAGGTCCGGATCCTCGAGAGTCCTTGGCCTAGCCTTGCCCTGGCAGCCGGGGCACCCCAGGTCAGCCCCGCCTGGCTAATGAGACACATCCAATTAGGCCAGCACGAGGTTAAATGCTTCAGTAGCTTCTTTTATCCCAGGCTTCCTGCAGCTGCTAGGATGAGAGTGAGTCAGGGCACACTACCCATGTGAGCACCTCACCTCTGGCCTGGCACCTTGATGGCCAATGGACGTCCGCATGAGGCCATTCACCAAACAGGAGACCTCGTCCCGCTCCTCAGGATGGTTTTTACCTGGGTGGGGGAAGATATAACCTTCATATCCTGCCCATCCCCAGGGTTCCTGCAGGGATACAGATGGGCACATGCTCTCCCCAGCGGTTCAAAGGCATTCACATTCATGCCCCCACAATGAATGTGCCAAGCCCGCACCGCCATGCTATATCCTCCACACCACTGACATTCCAGACTTACTCTTCTTCTTCCTGCCAAAGAGGCTCTTGGTAACTTTGACAAATAGGATCCTAGCTGGGTTAAGGGGTGTCAGGTCTGGGACTGTCACGCAGCTGCTGACAGGGAGGCGGTCGGGGGTGTAGCCCTGAGGAGGGAAGTCATGTGAGCAAAGAAGAGAAGCCCCAGGAGTAGGGTCATCTACCCCCACTGAATCCCCTTGGAATATGCAGACTTGACTTAGATGTCTAGGGAGCCACAAACCTTGGTAAAGAAGTCATGGCGCAGGATCTGATCGATTGAGGGGCGGTCTTGGGGCGAGGCTCGAAGGATGGCAGCCAGGAGCTGTCGGGCAGGCAGTGAGAGGCAGGCGGGCAGTGTGTAGTGAACCTGTTTGATGCAGCGATACGTCTCCTTCAAGTCAACTGTCTCAAAGGGGGGAGTCCCACACAGCAGTGTGTACCTGAAAGGCAGAGGCGAGGCGGTCAGGAGTGCAGCGGAAGGGACACCTCACCTGGGCCCCCACCAGGGTACAGATGACCCTGGGACTCACATGACACAGCCCAGGGACCACACGTCTGCCTCAGGGCCATGGCCCTGTCTCTGCAACACTTCTGGAGCCACATAGTTGGGGGTGCCACAGATGGTTCTGGAAAGGGATAGGGAGGAGGAGAGAAGAAGGTTCAGACCCGGCCTGGCTAGCTCCCCCCTTCCCTGCCCCCACTTTGAGTCCAGACAAAGCAGCTGCCTGTCACCAAAGGCAAGAGAACTCCTGCTTGTCCTGGGACAATGGATGCTGGGGATGGCAGCTGAGTCCCCGCCCACCCGCCTGGCCCAGCTGCTCAGCTGCTCTGCAGGACAGGGGAGGCCTTAACCCCCACCCCAGCCCCCTCCTCTGAGGTTAGCATCCTATCCTCAGTCCCCCACTCCCGTCTGTCAGACACCCACACAGGCTGTCACCTCCTCTGGTCTGTGCACACACAAACCAACACCAGCTGTCATATTCCCCAAAACACTCATCAGCCACACATGCTATCTGTTGTCACTCACACCCAGTCACCGTGGCCACAGCAGGGTCTTCTTACACAGGGTATCACGTCCTGCCATTCCCACACTCAGTCTGTCTCACACACACATCACTTATGTCACCTTCCCCCATCCATACAGAGGATCTGGTCAAACATCTCCGAGAATCCTTATACCCCTCATCTGTCTCAGGGACTCAAACAGCCTTCCCACCAGTCCCAGTAACTCCAGCTGCCACCTCCACATTCCCCCCGCAACACACACAAACAACCCATCATCCCTTTCCCATCTATCACACACACACATCAGGCAGTCATCATGCCTCCCACATACATACTCACTGTCACACACGTCATCTGTGTCACACAGACTGTGGCCACCCCTCTCCTCAAACACTCACTTCTTCCTATGTTCCGGGGGTTCCAACCGGGTTGCCAGCCCAAAGTCCCCCATCTTCAGTTCCATGTTCTCGGTGATAAAAAAATTCCCTGAATGGGGTAAGAAAGGTGTGTCAGAGTCCTTTCTCTCCGCCTCCCAAACCCCAATCCTGCCGGCCCAGGAGGCTCACCCAGTTTGAGGTCTCGATGCAGGATGCCCCGCTGGTGCAAGTACTTGAGTCCGGAAAGGATCTGGCGCAAGTAATAGCGCACCTCTGGTTCCAAGAGAGTGTGCCGGGCCTTCCAGATGTGTGCCAGGGACTGCAGAGAGCCACCAGAGCTTTAGCCCCTGATCCGCCCTCTCTGACCCTCCCCCTCCGTTCGCGCTCACTGAAGAGGAGAAAGGGCTCCAGCTTTGGGTCTTAAGCGCCCCCCACCCCGCGCCCTTTCCCTCTCCCACTCTCAGTCATCTCTCACCTTTCGGCTGCAGAGCTCCAGGAAAATGTATATGTTGTCCGCATCCTCAAAGTGGTGCGAGAAACGCACGATGTGGCGGTGCTGCAGGCCGCGGTGCAGCTCAATCTCGTTTAGGATCTGCAAAGCGGGCGCGGGGTGGTCATCCTTCAAGGGCTCCCTCACCACTGTCCCCACCCCACCCCGGGTCCGCTGGGTCCGGGCCCACCTTCTCGCGCTGATGCGGCTTGGTGATGCGGCTCTGCGAGATGACTTTGACCGCGTAGGCGTTGCCCGTCTCTGTGTCCGTGGCCTCATAGCAGCGGGCAAAGCCCCCCTATGGGGAGGGGCCATCAGGCAGAGAACTCCAGGACAGCCAAGTTTGGCCCGCAGACGTCCCCGAGCCGAGGACAAGCGTCCCCGCGCCGAGGGCAAGCGTCCCTGCGTCCCCGCGCCGAGGGCAAGCGCCCCCGCCCCACCCGGCGCGGTCAAGGAGGTCAGCGGGACCCCCCCCACTCCCCTCGCTAGCACACCACCCCACCAGTTCACCTTGCCCAACAGGCGGCCTTTGAAGTAGGTGCGACCGTTGCGCGGGTCTGTGATAAGGCGCCCTGGATCCGTCGCGGGTGGCCCAGCCACCATCTCCACTTCAGGTCCCGGCACTGCACTTCCAGGCGGCCCGGGCCCGGCAGGGGGCGCGGGCGGGGCGGCCGCACGCGGGAAGGGGCGCGGGGATAGGAAGCCGGCGGCGGGCTCCATGCAGGCGGTGCGTCGCAGCGCGGGCCCGGCTTGTTTCGGTTCCGCCCGGCCCGGGCCGCGTGTGGAGCTGCCGGGATTTGCTACGCTGCGCTAGCGCCCGAGGGAGCCCGGCGTTTTTATCAA